ACATCATGTGTCTGTGTGCCTGTAAGAGAGAGAGAGTAGACAGACAGACAGACAGACAGACAGACAGATATACTGGGGCTTGAACTCAGGGCCTTGAGCTCTTGCACAGCATTTTCTGCTCAAGACTGGCACTATAGCACTTGAGCCACTCTTCTACTTCCAGTTTTTTGCCAGTCAATTGGAGATAAGAGTCTCACAGAGTTTTCTGCCAGGGCTGGCTCTGAAAGATGAGCTTCAGATCTCAGCTTCCTGAGTAGCTAGGATTACAGGCATGAACCCCTGGCAATGGCTTTTTGATGTTTAAGAAAAAATGGAAAAGTAGAAGAATAACTAGAATCAGGGCAGATCTACCACCAGTGCCAAGTTACCCTCTGCATTATATTTTTAAGGCAGCCTAGATCCACAGAACCTGCAGGTTAAGCACGAGACACAGCGCCAGGTAAGATATCAACAAAGCTAGCCTGAAGAAGCGTAGAGGTAAGTATGCGCCCAGCTGCTCTATTTTGTATCTATTTAACTTCCTATCTGATGAACCTACCTATCTTGGTTTTCTACTCCTGCCTTGGGTTTGAAGGCCTTACTAACTTAATCTCGAGTGGGTAAGCTACATGGAAAAATATTCAAGGCAATAACCTCATCCTCCTTGCTTTCTGGTCCCTTCTCTCCCATCAACAATAATATCTTCAATCACTTTTTCTAGGCCCAACAAGTGTCCTTGACTATTGTAATCCTCGGAACTAGGCTAGATAAGCATTTTTCACTTTTTTTTTTCCTAGCAGGGTGCTTAGACTCAGAAAAATTCAACAGTTGCTCCCAGTCACACAGTAGCTGAGCAGGAGCTACCTGAGGCCTGCTTAATTTCAAAATAGGCACTTTATTTCTTGCAAGTTACAAAGTTCCCCATTTAGACAACACTACAGATCATGGTTAGCAATGTGAAAAGTCCTTCCAGAAAATCCCCTTTCCTAAGTCCTTCACTGGCCACTCTGCAGAGCAGTCTCCCAAGAACTCATTCTCAGTTTAGAAGAAAATGAATCCATCTCTTTCTCTCTTCCTTATCTTATGGGCTTCTCTGGAGCAGGTAGGTCCTGCCTCTGTCATTGTACCATCTGGGGTTACTATGTACAGTATGTTCAGTAGACATGTCCTGAACTGGATCAGGCGAATCCCAGAATCCTGTTACTACATGGCATCCAGACATGATGCTCAGATGAGAAATGATAAAGCTGACATCCCAACGCAGATATCCTGAGTTCGAATCTGCATTGAACAAGGCCCCTCTGTGATTAAGGGGCACTCTGAGGTCCCACGCCCACTGCCTGTGCAAACAGATTGTTAATTTGCACCAGTATAGGAGACAAAATCTCTATTTTAAATAATAGAATGGCACATAAAGACCTGAAAAAGTTCAAATGGTGTCTGAGGAAAAATTACCTAAGAAACGACTTTGCTTAAAATATCAAGTAGTCCCAAATGTCAAAGAATTCAAGTGAGAACGAAGGCACTGGCCTAAGGTAAAGACTGCCTGAAAACTCTCTTTTGAAACACATGCTCCTATTTAATAAATGTTTATTTAGTGCTGTAAGATAGTATTAATCATCATCAGCTTTAAAATGGAATTGCTCATAGTTAAGTACCCCATTAGCATTCAGAAAGTTCTAACTTTGGATATTAACGGCTGACAAATCAGCTAATTTCCCATACCTTATTAAGCACCTATCATGAATGAGGCCTTGTAGGGATGAGAGGAAGAGACAAGATATGAATGTGACAATCTCTGACCTCCTGTTTTTGCTACAAATAGAGTGACTATCAAGAATATGCGAATCAAACATTTCTGTAAGCAAAGAAGTCATCAAGTACCATTTTCACTATTTAAATGTGAAACCCAATTAGATGCTTGCTATGATAAAAACCAATTAAACTGTTGGTGTAACGCAGCCAAGAACACTGAGTCACTAGGCTATTTTCAATGCCTCACAATCCAATCTGACCTGCCTTGGGAGAGAGTTGTTATATCCTGCATGTTATCAGCATAGGACAGCCAAGATCCAGTCTGGGAAAGTATGGGACCTACCACTACCCTGGAACAGCACAGGACATATCACCAGAACAGAAGAGCATGAGGCTTACTACCAGCATGAGACAGCAATCATTTTGGAAGAAACTGGCCATTCATGTCAAGAACAGAACACATAGTTGTTTTAAAATTAACAGCCCTTGTGGGTTCTTGGGATTCAAAACCAAGACTCTATCGAAAAAATCAACACAAAAAGTATACACAGATATAATTATAATCCTGAAGAACTTCAGTAATGTTGAATCTCTCACTTAAAAACAAGCAAGCCATTTGAGCGGGCTCCAGTGGTTCATGCCTGTAATCCTAGCTACTCAGGAGGCTGAGATCAGAGGATCACAGTTCAAAGCAAGCCTGGGCAGAAGTCCATGAGACTTTATTTCCAATTAACCACAAGAAAACCAGAAGTGGCACTGTAGCTCACATGGGAGAGCGCTCACCTTGAGCTGAAGGGCCCAGGGTTCAAACCCCACAATAGACAAAACAAACAAAAAACCAAGTAAGCAAGCTGGTGCCAGTGGCTCATGGCAGTAATCCTAGCTACTCAGGAGGCTGAGAGCTGAAGATCACGGTTCAAAGCCAGCATAGGCAGGAAGGTCTGTGAGACTCCTATCTCTAACTAACCAGAAAAAAAACTGGAAGTGGGGCTGTGTGTGGCTCAAGTGGTAGAGAAGCAGCCTGGAGTGAAAAAGCTAAAAAGGACAATCCCCAGGACAAGAAAAAAAATTCTTTAAAGCAAGCAATGTCAAGAGTGAGCTATAAAATCTATCAAGAGTTAAGCGAGATTGTATAGAACGTTTAAGTGGGTTACTACCATTAGTGATACACCAAGTAACGAAGATTTTCTCTACTATTTTCACTATTTCTAAAAAGCATTTTCATTATTAAACAGCCAGAAACATCAAACAGGATCAAACCTTTTTAAAAGAACAAAGTAAGCTTTAAGACAATCGTTGCCTATATAAAGATTGATCCTCAGATCCAAGAGAAGGATGGAAGGACTGACATTGGTCAAGATGCATTGTACTTACAAACTGACATTGAATTGAAACCCCTTTGTACAACTACCTAAAGACAATGAAAAAATAAAAACTTTAATAGGTTTATTCTTTCTTTCCATAAGAACATCTCCAATGATGCCCAGGAATTGTTTTTATCATACTAATTAGGGAAGTTTACTGGGTTCTTAGAACTTGGCATGTTTGACTCTTGGGGACTGGGTTAACATTTTATAAATATATTTTCTGTAGATTAGATTCCCTTTTTTAGCCTGGCCAGAAATAGTGAGAATAAAACTATTTCTGAATTTACATACAGTGGGGCATCAGGAAAAAAAACAGATGCATAATTTTTTAAGAGGAAATTAGCTAAAAGCATACTAACAATTCTTCTAAGTCACACTCCCCATCTCTCTGTGAGGTGGAAAGTAATTACTGATTGTATGCCACACACTTTATTTTTAACTAAATCTTTAAGTAAACTGCTGAGAAATAGCAATACTTCTGATTCGGGTTTAGCTGTAATGAGACATTGAATTTGGTTTTGTAAAATAGTGGCCCAGGTCGGACTGTTTCTTTTAAACATTAAGGCTTACGTTTACTCAAGGTTTATTTCAAAACCATTTTTTTTGGGGGGGGGGGAGGTATCTTTGGCAAACATTTTTCTTTCGGGAAATCTCAGTAGCAGAAAGCAAGAGCGAACATATACCCTTGAATTTGAAGGGTGTCTTCCAAGGAGGAAAGCTCTGTTTTTAAATGCAAGCCAAAATTACTTGGCCAATTCACCAGTCACCGGATGGGGATGAGGACTTGGTTGCTGTGGGGGACGCAGAGGTATCGATACAGTTAAGTCTTGCCAAGAACTAATTACCTGGGAAGTCCAAACCGAGGGGTGGGGGACCTCTTCTAAGGAACAAGAAGGCTTGGGTTCTAATGATCAAGATCGACTAGCTCGTCTCTGCTAATTAAATTAATTCAATTTACCTGTAAACAAACAGGTTAACCATTCTGACGAATGCGGGGTGAATACCACAGTATTGATTAAGGAAACAAAAGAACTCGCCCATCTCGGACCCCCGTTGAACACCTGTGGAGTGCATGAGCTTTTTTAACTCTGGTAACTCAAGCCTCCTGGATACCATCTTCGGAGATTTCGTCCGTTTGTGAACTTGCGCAGACATATTTACAGTCTGCATCTTGTTTCAGCAACAAAACGGGTTACTATTTATGAATCACAGAGCTGAACACAAACTTTTCTTACCTAGAGGAGTGGCGGGCACGGGAGGGGAGCTGGTTTTGAATCTGGCTCCTCGGTACCTGTCTCCCCGGTTCCCAACCCACAGCTCCTCCTTAGAAAGGTCAAAGGTCCATTCTGGTTCGGGTGCACACACACCTCCCAACAAAACGCCTCGCCGGCACCCCGACCCAGTGGCCTCCCGAGGAGGGGGCCCGGACGCGCGGTCGAAACGCACGGGACCCAACACCCCATCCGGCCCGAACCCACTCGGACCCAGGGACCTGGAGACGCGTGATGGGGCTCGGGGAGGACAGCGGGCCATCTCCACGCTACTGTTGGGGGGGGGACACAGCCCCTATTCAAGCCCGTGGGAAGATCCCCAAATTCCGAGATTGGGGAGGGGGGTGCCCGGTCCTTGTCTCCAGGGCGAGACGCACCCGAAGCCCAGAGGCTGAGCCCCCGCTGTCTGTCGTCCCCGAGGCGCAGATCCAGACGGCCCGGCCGTGCGGACCGAGGGGAACTCTCCTCCCTGCGGCCCGGCGGGGCGCCCCGCGCTGCGCAGTCTCGCGCCCCTCCCGAGCCCGCGCGTCCCCCGCGTCGGCAAGCAGGTGGCGGGGGTCCTGTTGCCCCACGCGCACGCACCCCACCCCGGGAACCCGGCGTGGCCAAGGTGCCGAGGTCCTCTTACCTCGGAGCGGGCCGGGGCGGCCCGACCGGGCCGGGTGCAGACTGGGCCGGGAAGACGCGCCTCCCGCCGCCACTGGGGGCCCAGGCGGCGAACGAGCGCGACGA